CACACACACACACACACACACACACACACACACACACACACACACACACACAAGAGCTGCCTGGAAGACTTTTCATTTTTCCCATACATGTTGCCCGTGGACAGCATTGTGCACAAAGATTTGGGGAAATCGTCACAAGGCATCAAATCACAGAGGTATTCTGCCTCATGGCAAACTGGGCTGCACTGGGGACTTGGTTGCTAATTGCCCCTTTTTTTCCCCATTTAGAGTGAGCTGTCTCTCCTCTTCACACACACCACCCCTCCCTTCCCCCCCCACTCCCTCTCTGTCTTTCGTGTTCTCGCCCTACGGCAAAGAGAGAGTCATGAGTGCCATGTCATCCTGTGAATGTGTAACGTCAGGCCTGGGGCTGTCTTGGCCTGGACTGTCCTCATTTGCAGGCTCACATGGAGGTTTACTTCAACCTTCTACWTTAACTCTGCAAGGAGATTGTTTTTGCAGGAGCTGCATTAATGCTACTGATGGTGGTGATTAATAAAGACAAGCATCTATGATCCTTCAGGACAGTAGAGTCCTTCACTTGCCTTGACCGGGTATTTGAGTCAGATGTTGCTGTTGCAAGTAGATATGTTGGGTATTAAACACAACTTCTCAATATTTGCTTTAAAACAAGTTTGATCTAACAAAATATAACACTTTTTCTGCAGCATTCCCAAGGGAATTTCTCAAAACATTTGCAGAGGTTTTAAATTTTCTTTTATGGGTCGCAGAGGCTTGCAGTCTTGTCGCTTAAGTTTTGAACATTTAAAAAAAGGGTATTTTAAGGCTGTTATCCAGGTTTAAAACCACTTTAAACTTTAGGCTTTATAATTATTTTGTTGCATTCCACTTATTTTATTGATTAAATGTGAATCAAAGCGTTGTGGTGAAGCAATTTCAACCTCGGAGCACTAACAATCTTGGCCTGAAATGCTCGTCACTTTAAAGCGATGCAGCATTTTCATTCACTATATCATCAACTTGTTGAGGTCACAATCTGTCTCCTTTAAACATTACATGCTCAGACACGACCATTTCAGCTTTTGAACAGATGTAGCGTGCTGTGTCATGCACCCTGGGGAGATTTCCAATCCTAAGGTGAGATCTCATCAATTTTCTCAGCATAACAGACGCAGAGAAAGGTTTTGGAAAAGGATTTTYAACAGGTTTAAGAACAGAAGTACAATATTTCTTTGCCTACACAAAGTTTATATCTGTCATTGTTATGATTCTGAGCTGAGGGTTGATYACGGGTTTGTATAAGAGAGCAATTTAACCCAATATCTCACCAATCAGTAAGGGTGTAAATCACCAGCTTTATCACGATACAGTATTACATCGATACGTTTGGATGACGATTCGATATTTCTCGATATCACAAAGTCTGTCACGATATGACTTTGATTCACATGTCTGCGATCGTTATAATGTGATATCATCTGCCCATCTAACACAATGACTGTGTTAGATGGGTAAATGATATCGATTCCCATTGAGCATACAGTATGATCACGATATAGATCTATATTTTCATTTTGCCTTGATATAACTGAATGATGAACCATTCAAGTCGATATATCGATATAGATTGATGTATTGTTACACCCCTACCAATCAGTGGGTGTTATTCCACCTATCAAGCCATCAAGCACACGATTACTGTCAAGCTGTGTGGCTTCAGTTTAACCATTACATGGCCACACATCAGTCAGACTCAGTGTTTGAGTTATTCAAAAGAAATGTATGAATGATGTTTAGGGCCACTGTGTGTTCCTTAGTAGATATACATTAAAATACAGTTGGTATGAAAAGACTGCAATGCTTTGACTGTGATAAGATGTCAGAGTAATAGCAGGTTTAAATCGTAATCAACTTAGTGGGCCCAGTTTTATAATCCTGTGTTTGGGAGCGAGCAACACATTCCGTCTCTACTCCCACACGTTTGGCTGTCTTAAATAGAGCCACACAGTGCAGATGGTGGAAACCTTTGGGAGCAAAATCAGCCTCGAGCAAGCATTCTTATTGATTTTCTGTAACATGAAAGATACATAATGCAGCTCAAAAGGAACCACTGGGGTAACCGGAGTGTGCAGAGCTGTGAGTCTGTCTGTCATTAAATGAACACACTTTCGCAAAAACAAAAAACAAAACCAACAACACACATACACACACAAGTCACACACACTCAACAGACTGTCTCCGAGATGAGAAGCAGATGTCATCCTCTTGTTTTTTCCTGATCTTCATCCCACCCACTCCTTACAAGATGTCCCACTTTTTGAGAGAAATCAGCAAACAACTATTTCCTTTACACATGTCACCAACTGCCAGAGCTGTGTGTGTGGTTTATGGACGGTTTTTTCCTACAATGTGGGGAAAAATTTCCCCCAAAAAAGCAGCATCGTGGGGACCAAGTGCATCGTGGGGACCAATGCCCGGTCCCCACAGGTCCAAATGCAAATTACAGGTTGGGTGTTATGGCACGGTCCCCAAGAGGTTCAAGAACAAACGTGCGTGCGTGCGTGCGTGCGTGCGTGCGTGTGTGTGTGTGTGTGTGTGTGTGTGTGTGTGTGTGTGTGTGTGAAAGAGTGGAGACTTCTGACCTAATCTGTTTTCATTTTATGAGCTTTGTTCCATCTATGAACTAAACATTTAGTTTCTATTGTGAGCATTAAACTTTGATAGTGTTTCTTAAGAATTTAAATACACTCAAAATCAGTGTGTTTTTAAATCAACCATATTTTCTTATTCTTGACAGGTTGCTGTTAAGTACTTGTAATTTGTAACAGAAAATTGGATTGATTTTACTGACACTGCTGCATCTAAAACGATATGTTTTTTATGGCAGCAACAGGAACATTACCGCTGATCATGTATTTATTGATTGGACTTGTTATGTTGTGCGAAAGGTAATTTATTTATTTTTWAACAAATGACAGGTAATTTTTACAATAAGATCGTATGCTTCTCCTTCTGGGGCCTAAACCAATTCAGTTAACATTCTCAAGAGAGAGGTCCAGATAAACAGTTGTTTACATGTAGATCAATAAGTTGTAATGGGGAAAAGGGGAACTTGAAACATTGTAAACATATAAAACTTAAACAATTTAGGAGTGTAACATTTAGATCAGTAGTTGGCTGAGATGTAATTTATTTAAAACTTCAGAAGCCCTCCATTTTGGCAGTCAGATAATATCCATCGAACTAATGAGTTTCAATAAGAAACCAATGTTGAGGAGATGGTAAGTAGACTCATTCATAATTTATCTGAAGGTGGATAGTTTTCTAATAACATCTGGAATATCATTAGTTTCTACATTCACCATTCTGAACGACACTGGGTCTCAAAATTGGCGAAGAGTCTTTGCATTTAATGGCTACATTGATCTTTAAAGTCTTGTTGTAATTTGAAGAGATGCTGAGTGTGACGTCTCCCTGATAATGACAGGAGRACAGAATGCCATTATCGCCGACAGACTCAATTAGTTTTTAATGAAACTGCATGTTTTAACAGGCAGCATGCCCAGTTTTATTAAAATCTAAAAAATGAAGCACCTCTTTAAATGACCTTTTGATTCTGGCTCCATAACTGAGTCAATCTTGAGTCTGGTAAAACATCTGAATGTGATGCAAGGATTTTCAATAAATATTTTCTTTATTCTTTCCTGACAAATGAATAGGGTATTTGTAGTATATTAAAACTAAAAGTTAAATATTATGAAGAATTAAATCAGTTTAAGTGATCTTGTTCTTTAGCTTCTTAGCTCTGTCCCATAAGCCACGTCTGGTTGCAAAACCCCAAAATGTTGAGGTGCAAATCCCAAAGTTGATGGTTTAAAACAGCAACTTATGAACCAGTTGTTGTCARACTTTAGTCTGTCCATGGGTTCAATTAATTATTTTGGCTGTAGTTTAATTACCAAATAAGGACATCATGAGGTTAACTTATGAAGAATTTTTGAAAGGTGTTGATATAAAAATTATAGAAAGCTTAAGCTGTTCGTAATGAAGCTCAACTGTGTGAATTACAAAATCAAATCTGTGCTTGTGTTTGATTCAGGTGTAACCATGAAGCTGATGGATGAGGTGGCTGGAATTGTAGCAGCTCGGCACTGCAACACTAACATCGTCACCGCTTCTGTGGATGCCATTAACTTCCATCGCAAGATTAAGAAAGGTGAGGACACTTGTTCACATAGCTTTGATGTTTTCTTTAAATACCCACATTCTGCACAGGTTACAAGCCAGTCACAGTGGTTTGAGCCCTTCAGAAATTGTTTCCATTGTCCAACTGCATAATACTTGTTAAAAGGCAGAGCAGCCTTAAAATCTGCCAGTTTATATTTAAAGAACTAGTCAACATTAACCACAGTAATTGTATCCATTACATAATTGGTGATTTGTGTTCTGTATTAAAATGTGTCTGTTTGAAATGTATGTTTTATTGCCAGCACTGTTTGGACACCAGAGTTGCAAATCTGAAAAGGCACAAAAAGCTGACAACAAAAAGCACAAAAATGACTTTTTCCTTTTTTTTTTAAGTATTGGTGATACCTTTGACACTTTGGTAATTTACCAGTTTTCAGAGCTAAAAGTGGGATAATATTTTCGAATGCATTTTTAATTGAATGTTGTAGTTTTCGCATGTTCGATACTGAAATTTTCCTGCTCTGAACATACTGTGATCCAAACATCCTGTACTAACATCCAGATGCTATGACTACCTCAGGACAAAATRTTAACAATAGAGCAGCTTCATCTCTACCCATTGTTGAATTACGAAGTGGAAAGAAAATGTCACAGCTCAGCACGACGGTGCCAGGTCAGCTCCTATAGCTTTACACTACATGTGTTTTTAAACGCAGGCGACTTCCTTCAGGCAGAATAATTTTTTCAATTCATGTGTTTCTCTTAAGATGTTGAGCATTACTTAGTGTCATCAGGATATAAGAGAGGCTCCTTAAGTGACTTAGATTTATCTACAGAACCTTAGACGACAGTGAAAGTGTTAAAATGGGCTAAGGTAGGATGCATACCACATAATCAACAAAGTCACTATTGCAGAGCCAAATCTAAATCAATCCATATAAAAAGTTGAGGTTGTTTGAGGTCCATATACATATTTTATCTGCTCAACTTTGTGCTATTGCTGCCCCGTTGTCCTCAGAGTTTATGTTGTTTGGATTTCAAGGGATAAATAAAAAAAAAATACTCATACTTCTAAAAGAAAAAGAAAGCCCCCAAAAGCTACAGATCAGTTTTTATTTATTTATTTATTTTTTATTTATTCATTTTATTCATAAAAAAGAAACAAAACAAAAAAGATTCAAATCACCTCTGGGTAGATTTAGTCATCTCATGGTACGTTTTCCATTTGTTACTGTTTTCCAACTGATGGGAAGTGTGGACTTGTATTTTAATCCTTGTTATTTATAGACCAGAGAAGGGGTTGTGTTACTTACTGTATTTTACAGCCATCTTCTGTGTCTCAGACACTTCAGAGAGTCATTGTTTCTTCAATACCAGCTGAGATATTAGCACCATTTTGGTGGCTCAACAAGGGGAAAGAGGCTGAAAACGTTTGACATTATTTGTCCACTGATTGTTAAAAAGCAGCATCAGGTGGGTGTTTTTAGAGACCAGTATTTTGTTCTGCTAGCTGAAAACAAAATACTACCAGAGATTTAGGAATCAAAAATGTGCAAAGCTTTATCTTTTTAAACAACATAAATGAAGTAATTCTGAGATTTAGAGGAGTTTAGTAACATTTGCTAAATATTCATTTTGCTATTAAGAAGCATGCTACAACTAAAGTTAGATTAATCACATATAAATGACCTAATTTGTTGTAATTTGCTTTCTGTGATAACATTAACAAATCTCACTTTCTGTTGTTTTGCTTCATGCCTCATTTATCAGACAATTTACCAAGAGACCAATTATGCTTTTTGACTAAAACCATACAGATGGTGCTAAAAGGAAGTGTTCTGCTTTGTTTATAATTGAATATGGAGGCCATTTCTTTTTGCATTTCTAACCAATGTGTAGCTGTGTCTTACTGTTGTTGTATATGAATACAAAAGGGTTTAGGTAGTGTTGTTGGTAGACAGGTCAACATATAGAGCCAAACATCCCAGGCTTTTGCAGCCATATTGTAAAATAAAGGCTATTATTTTTTTCATCGGGGCTATATAATGCGGCTGTTAGATGCTTGCTATTGATGTGAGAGTTCAGTCAGTGCTCCTCGCTATGATCCATTACAACCAAATAACCAGGAGTACAAATAATGAGAAGAAAGGCACAAAACCTCAAAAGCGGAACGTCGGATGAAAGGACTTTTCAGTCAGAGAGAAAAAGAGCGCCGAAGGTGAGAAAAAGAAAAAGATTGGCGTTTCATCATGAACACTCAAAATGCTGAACTTATTTATATCCGCTGCATTTGATTTAGCTGATTATGCGTGATTTGTTGTTTGTCCAATTGTGACATTTCGGTAATGGGAAATCTTTAAAATTCATATTGAAAGGGGGCGTTTTGATGGAAACGTAACGGAGCTTTRACTATTTTAATAGTGAAGAGAAAATGATAATGCTGTTATTTAAGATGAAACAACAAACCCAAACCATACTGAGGCAGACTGTGTAAAAGTAGCAAATTGGTTGCTCAGCACAGTATCAGCTTTATGCATACACCGTGATGCCCGGGCTCTTTCCTATAGCAGATTTGCTATATTAGGCAGAAAAGGGACTCTGCCAGATTTCCATGGTGCCTGACCTTCAGTGTTGCGCAAGTGCTAGATCTACTTTCTGCATAAATCAATTATTAATCATGAAGGTCTTTTAAAAATCATCCATCATCAGGACTGGGTTTGGTGTAGCTCACACTCACTTCCCCTCGCTGAGCCTGATAGATTTGTGCCAGAAACATTTTATCTGAACGAGACTGGACTCAGAATGTGACATGACACTCGAAGGGTCCTGATGACAAGAAAGAAGATAAATGGCGTCCGTGTATCAGCTTTTCTATGACTCAGTCATTGAACTCTATCAACCGCTTACAGTTCTTCAGTCATTTTACCACCATTTTTTAAAAAAATAGTTTGTTTTACTTTCTGATTCTCAGTATGAGTTAAACAATTTTACTAAACTTTAAAAACAGAGAAATGCTTTCCCACTTTTTTCAGTGTGTAGTTCGAATCAAATTAGTGCTATTTTTAAAGTGCCTGTGACGTCAATTTTTTTGTAATAATTATTAATGTAGTTTTTTGAAAAACAACATTGACAACATACTGTATAAAAGATTTCACGTCACTGAGATGAACAGCAGTTGAGATATTTTCATGTGAAGCAAAAGGAAGTGATGTCAAAGGGGAGTGTCTGAATGTGAACAGAGTGTTGCTAAAATGGCCAAAAGCACAGACTGTAGAGAAGAATCTGATGCTTCTTTAGATTATTTTAATCTCTATCATAGAGAAATGAGAAACAGTCAGAGTTCAAATAATAATGTTTCAATAAATAAAAACCAGGAAGTTGTCTTTCTCAAAGAGTTCCCCTTTGATGTCACTTCCTGTTTCACTTTAGTTGAGCCAAATTCAAAAGAAATTTGCCAATTATGTGACATAACGGATAAAATCACGTGTATTATGTCAGGTTTCTTAAACAGAAATATATTTAGTTTGACTTTTTGTATTTCATGGATATGCATGTCACAGACACTTTAAGTTGTTTATATTATATTATATTTGTAAGAGACGTCCACCGTATCCTACACATATTTCTCAGTTTAATGAGAAAACACGAGTTCTTTTCATGAACGATAATACCTCTCCAGAATGAAAGTGAGAAAAGACACACAATAATTTGTAGTTCCAGTCAGTTCAAATTTCTAAATAAAGGATTTATTTACAAAACAAATGAACTAACTTTATATACAAATTAAGGTTAATAATTAGAACTTTCTGAGTTAAACATTAACATTAATTGCTTTGCGTCCAGAACAACTTCTGAAACTATAACACTCAGGGTGAACAAAACAGTAAACCAGTCTTTGATGATATTAATACTTAGTTTACAGGTATTTTAGCTTAGGCAAGATTTAGATTAAGAAAGGAGGAAAAAAGAATTAGTAAATATTTAGTTTTGATCATTTATCTTATCAAAAGTAGGACCAGAACAGACCAGAACCTGCGTTTCCCACTCGACTGGATTTTCTAGCTTACAAACAAAACCAGCTGCTGCCTTTGGGTGTGTACCGTCAGTCAGCTGGGTCAGGAGGACTCGGTCCCTTAAGACATCCAGGGGGCTTAAGACGAGTACGACTCCAGGGTTTATGAGTTCAGCATCTCAGAAAATCTGCCATTTARTCAAGAGACCAGGGTCCAGGGTCCGGTTATCTCTCAGGATAAGTTCATTGAAGCACAAGAACCAGTTTAACTGCAATAAATCTAAGAAATATTTCTCTATGATTAAAAACACAAATACAGTATTTCTGTAAGCATATTTCAAAATATAACTCAATGAAGTTCTAAACTCAACAATCAATTTTAGTTAAATGGAATAATAAAAAGAAAAAAACACTTAATCACTTTACTGTAAGACAACAGTTGATTAAACAAGCATTTGTGTAAAACAGGTAAAGGGAAAGTCAACCATTTTCTCATGGTGCGCTTTTTCTTTTTTTCTGAAAATAATGCAAAAGATTAATTCATTAGACAACATTGATTTATAAAGTGATAATAACTTGTCGTTAAAAAGGGTATAT